CTGATAGAAATATTCATCCAAGAACACGTTAGAAAATCTTTTGAATATTCTTTTGAAAAAAAAAGTTTTCTTGTATTTATTACTTTACTGAAAAGTAATACTAATTTTATGAATATTCCTATTCCCAGTAACAGTAATGCTTTTAGTGTTGCTGTTGCTGAGAATAGAAATACTGTTCAGTATTACTGTTACTAGTAATAGGAATATATACAATATTTGTATTACTGGTAACAGTAACAGTAATGTGGCATCCCTACTCGTCTTAACTTAAAAAAAAAAAAATTCGTTACTGTATAAATACAAAAACCGATATCATACTTCATAATAGATGCTTCTTGCAAAAGATCGGTGGGATGCATCGTTCGAAGCTATTTAAACACAAAAAGTTAACAACTAGTACATGCAATAATGTTATTATTTACTTTGACAGCACATTTTTTAATTTGTCCATTAGCCAAGCGTAATTCACCCTGATAAACCGTTCCAAAATGACCTTGACCAATTTGTTTTTGTAAAACAACAGCATCTTTCTCAATTTCCCATTTATCTGGTACATATAGCTCTGAAACAGACAGACAACATTATCATGATGTAAATCTACAAAAAAGAGTAATGTGAGCATATGTACCGTAATTTGGATTTTTTGATATAAACGATTTTTCATCTTTTTTAGCATATTTATAACATATGGGTATGGCCATTATAACCAATATAAAAATAATCGATGAAATTAATATGAGACTAACGAGTAATGCTTTATTACGAATAAGCTGTCTCATCATTTGAATACCTGAAACAGAAATCAATATAAATTTATTTTTAAAGTAAGTACAGAACGGTAAGAAAGTTTTGTAGATACGTGCAGTGACTATAAATGAGAACATTTTCATAACTAAATTTCACTCTGTAAAACTGATACTATTCCATTTTAGATTATGAAAGTAGGTACTATACGTACTGTGAAGCTACCACCAACTTGAAAACTGACACTCAATATTTCTAACAAATTCTCTTATAGTTTCTCAGTCTATTTCTCAGGTATTCGTACGCACTTGGTAATGCTTTTGTTATGATAATTAATTTAACATAGGGTGCTATTTGTTGCGTTTCATTTCCTTGTCCTTGATATTGTCTGTTAAGCAGAGTGATGGTTTGTGTAATCAATCGAAGTTCATATTTAGTTTGAGGTAAAAGTTCCAACGTGTACGATGATAAATTTGCTTCTAAACATCGTTCATCTTTCGATTTTGAATCAGAATTAAGAATTTGTAGTGTATAAAAATAAATGAGACCATTTGGATCGATAGGTGGTAACCATTGAACTTTATACAAATGAGTTTTTGTCTCCGATGTTTGATGACCCGTGGAAATATGAGTAATAGTGAAATTACGAACCAAATCTAACTCCTCTAGAACAAAGAGACAAACAAGACTTACATGAGATTTTATTTGAATAATAGTTGTTTTAGTCTAAAATAGTGTTTATGATATTTGGATAAGTTGTCATCTTAATTTAATAGATACCACATTAAGGGCTCCTCTCTTGTCAAAAATATCGATTTTGAGATTTAGATATGGTTGGATAGTTCAAAGTGTGTACTTTCAAAATGTCTATAGTTTTCTGTCACGAACATGAATTCTCATGGTTTTAGACGAAGTTTTTAGAAACCTCGAAAAATAAGAGACTCGAATTTCTAGTTTTTTCCACAATACTGATGCACTTAAAACTTTTTGTCAAGCAACATTTTCTGATCATAACTGAGACATAATAGGTTTCTGACAAGGGAAACCTTACCAGATAGTCCATCTAACTGAACTTCTTCAATCCTGTAATGTACAGTCCTTTGCAGAACTGAGTGCACAATAAATTCAAACAAACAATTCATATAAAATTAATCAATACGAACATTGATCTATATTAAATGATTTAACAAACCGACGCTCCTTTTTTTGAAATAGAGAAAATCTATTCTAACATACTTTCTGCTGGTTGTGTTCGAACAGTGATTATAATGCCCGTAGTACTACATGCTTCTGATAATGAAGCATTTTCGGTATTTTGACACGCATAAATCTGAAAGAAAAGAGAGTTTAGTCTTTTTTTTATCTCTCTTATTCTCATGAACCTACTTGAAACATATACATTTGTGCATATTTTAAATTTGTTATTGTTGCTTTAATTAATTGGTTATTTGGTGGTGGAGGAGCCAACACTGTTAAATTATTTGCCGTTATTTGTGGCATATGTTCAATTTCATCACTAAAATAGAGATAAATTATAGACAACAAATGGTAAATTGGAGTAGCAAAAAAACATTCTTACTTTAGAATAATTTCGTCTTCATATGAAGATTGTTGCAGATACTCTTTATCTGATAGTGTTGATAATCGTGGTTGTATTTGTTGTTTTCCATCTATATCATCTATTTTCATTCCATTTGAATCTCTCACATGTTGTTGCACATTTTTTACTAATAGTGGTTTTTCACTACCATTTTGTTGTCCAACACTACCACTTTCATACGATTGAAAATATTCATCTAATTTATCAGCTATTTTTTCATTTATTTGTTTAGACACAGGAAGTTTATCTTTACGTTGTGCCACACTATTAATAAGCTGATGTTCGAGAATAGCCAAATCTTCTAAGTCTGTATCATATTCATTGTCTTGACGATGTAAATCAGCATCAGCACAGTGTTGCCGTCGGATACCGTTATGTGATGAGTTTAATGAGGGTAAATCAGATACACTTGGTTGAACATAATGCCAAACATCTCAACAGAAATATTAGAGACAAATTATAATATCAAAATGAGTCTACTACAACTACTACTACCTAATGTTGCACACATTTTTGAGTTTTTAATTGGTAATTTATCGTGTATGTGTCCGTAATAGATAAGATAATATTCAATTTGACCATGTGTTTTCAATGGTTGATTCCATTGTAATTCAACTGTATTTTTTGATGTTGAATATCCACGTAAATTTACAATAGATTCTGGTTGTCGTTTAAATGTTTTAAAATAAACAATTGGACTAAACATGCCGATCATATATATATTTGATGCTACCGAACCGTAGGCAGCATATAATTGATCACCATCTATAAATAGACAAAAATATCTAAGAATGAATCAATTTTAAATGGATGCTTACAAAGAGTATGCTCACTATTTTCTACGATTACCGTAGTAAAAAAGAAATTGTGAAGAGTTTGTTTTTGGATATCAATCTCTAATTGATCGATACTTTGAATCAAAAATATCTTATCCTTTTTGTTAAATATGAGACTCTTATTTACCTAAATTTAATAATTGTAAATGTGTAAGTGATATTGAACCTTTTCCTGATGATGGATCATAATTAATTTTTTCAACCTTTTTAAACCATTTTTTATTTTCCAAATTTTTACTACACAATGAATTGGCATCAAAATGTGTTTCATTATGATAATTTTTTGTTGGCTTATAATACACAGAGAAAAAAGGTCGACGTAAATCTGATAATGCAGATGATAATGCTTTTGAATCTCCAAATGACAGACTAGCATAGACCATCGCTGATGATGATGTAATTCTGTCAATTGTAAGTGATAATAAATTTGATTCACATGATGCTAAATAACCGTTGGCATATGAATTTAATGTATCCTTGGAAATGGTCAATAATTCTGTTTTTAACGATGATTCTAAACATAAAAATATTTTGATACTCTATTAGAAAGTACATACAATAATTTTTACTTGTAAGATTAATAAGTTTAGTTATATGTTTTTGACATAATCTTGCATTTCTAATAATATTCAATCTTCCTCTAAGTTGTGGTTGATTTTTTGTCCATAATTCTGTTAAATGATCATTTTCTGCTATGGTTATTGTTGAATTAGCATTTGTTCCAATTTGTTTTAAATTTGAAAATACATCCAGAGTAGTGAAAATATTTACATTATGTAGAGTAAATTCATTTTCGATATATTCAATTGATTTTAAATTATCTAAATTATAGAAAACGTTTAAAAAGTGAATTTAAGCCCTCCTCTGAGACACATTTCTCAGGAATAACTCAGTTTAATTAATCGTGATCGACGACGTCATGAGGAATGCTGAGCTGGACCACACGAACGAAAAGGGCGAGCATGGATCTGCGACAGTCTAGTCGACTTCGCCGACGGTATAGGTCTCCTAGAAACTACCCTTGAGAACCACGCGCTAGAGAAGTAAGCTTCCAAGTCAGCATCCAGAGGACGCAAGCGATGACCACCAGACCACAAACAAAGGCACAATCAAGCTTGATGGGCAGAAAATCGAGTAGGTCGATAACTTCAAATATCTCGTCTCAATGATGTTGTCCAGCAAGATCGACATCAAAGTGCGAAAAGGCTAAGCCTGGAGAGTCTTCTGGAAAATGAAAGCTATCTGGAGCTCAAAGACAATGTCAACTCGACTCAAGACCAACATCTTCCAAGCCTTGTGTCTTTCAATACTCTTGTACGGCTGCGAGAGCTGGATTAGGGGTGTTAATTTAGTTTTATTGTTCATTTATAATAATGGATAAAAGTAAATGAATCATTTATACTTAAAAAAAAGATAAATTCGTCATTTATATATAAAAAATAAATGTAAATAAATGAAAAAAAAAATTATCTTTATTTTATAAAAGTAAATGATTCATTTATATTTATTTTCCAAAGTAACACTAAATTAACACTCCTAAGCTGGATCATCACCAGCAAGCTCGAGAGCAGTCCGAACAGCTTTGCCACCAGCTCTACAGAGTAATACTCAACATCAATCGTCTAGACAAGATATCGAATGTCACTGTCTACCAAAAGACCGGACAAGAATTTCTGGTGCACACAGTGCAGCACGCCAACTACGATTCATCGGTTATTACCTTCGGAGAGATGCGAGCGAATTTATTAATCACATACGCTCTCTATGTCCCGAAACCTAGTCACGGCAAAGCGCAAGCGAGGGCGCCTTCATCTAACGTACCCCGATTAGATTGCGAGGCTAATTAACAATGATACGCCCTCATCGGTCGACGAAATCCGAAAGGCTGCTACGAATAGAGAGAATTGGTCCAAGATTGTTGTCGTTTGCAAACCTCGACTGTTCGCAGCCGAACGATGATGATGTACAAAGTGACAAACCATTTACTTGAATTTTACTTTCGTTGCGAAAAAGTCCTTTACTATGGAGAGACGAGGCACTTTTCTGAACGTTCAATTTAAAATATATATCAAAAACTAACGATGACCAAATTCAACAAAACGGTTCGTCCCTTTTTAGATTTAGATATGTAGTTTCATTTGAAACAAACCCACAGGATGGATAGTTTCCCTTTGCTGCAAACTCAAAACTCGTGAAATAATTTCATATTGCGGCAATCACCTCTGAAACTTCTTTACCCTTTGAGACAGTAAACTTCCGTTAGATTATGGATTCTATAGTTCATACTTCTAATACACGTCCATTCACTCCATTCCATTTCATCCATTTCACAAATCTCATACACTTTCATACATCCTATACACCTCATACATTTTCCTACATTTACATACATCTCATACATCTCGTACATCCCACCCTCTCATACGTCTTCGTATATAGTCGTACCAATAAAAAAATGAAACCGTGTGTGTGCTCAAGGGGGGGCGAGGAGGAGTTGGCTGTGAATGTGTATCGAACAAGTCAGCCGTACGTGATCAGTGCCGAAATCAAGATCAAATGTATGGGATGTATGAGATGTATGAAATGTATGGGATGTGTGGGATGTATGAGAAGTATAGGATGCAGGATATGTTTGGGAATGTATAGGAGGTAAGAAAATATATGAAATGTATATGATTTACAGGGTGGATGGAACGTATGGATATGTATCGGATGGGAGAAATATATGTAGTGTTTGGAAATATGAAAAAGTATTTGAGATGTACGGAATGGTGTGGGATGCATAAAAATGTGTGAAATGTATGTGGGTGTAGGAAGTGCTGTAGTATATGAAAAATTGTTGAATTTAGATTTGCTGCAAGCGCCAACTATCCATGAGGTCTGAACATCTGCGTATTTTGAGTCGAAATTTTTATTATAATCTTTTCATTGCATAGTGTCTCATTCATAAAGACTTTTCCCAAATCGAGTGTACGATATAGAAAAAAATTTCTGACAACGTGAGGAAGTATCTCCCATAATAAATTTTACTAATAGATTGTTCTTACCTAATGCTTCATTTACATTTTGTGTTTGTTGTGAACTTATTCCATCTCCACTGGATGCTACACTAATCTCGTAAATATTCAATGTTTGTATTCGATGACAATATTTCAATTGTTGAAAATCAGTGATAAGTCGAATATGTTTTTCAGCACACGTTCCATTACAATAATTATTTGATTTTGTCGATTCACATGGAATACATTGTGTATGATTATGATTAATTTTGTAGCCATTTGGACAACGATCAACACAGTCTGAATCCAAAATATATTGACTATGAGAAAATTCAGATGATAAACATTCCGTGTATGATACACAAAATGTATCTTTAACCTAAAGAGTAAATAAAAATGAATTTAATCTATCATTATCCTTTTGAAATGGACAACAACTTTAAGATAAAAATTGTATAGTTAATGTAGTTATGTGAAATTACAACATTCTTTTATGTTGTGACAATATTTCAACCTATTATGGTAATTATCAAGTCAATACAAATAACTGTAACAGAAAATGAAACTTAACAATTGAAATGGAGAAAAGAAAACACTAGTATATTGGCTGAAATTGAGTAGAAAGCCTTGACAATAGTACACATAATTGTTAATAGCACTAATCAACACCTACTGCACTCTAACCACCGGTACAGATCGATCAGTCCCATTATATGTCTATCCTGGAGGCGTAGATAGTGGGCGGTTATCTAAGAGTGCAATAGGTGTTGGTTAGTGTTATTTACAATTATGTGTACTATTGTCAAGGGTTTCTACTCAATTTCTACTAGACAGTTATACAGTCAATATACTAATGTTTTCTTTTCTCCATTTCAATTGTTAAGTTTCATTTTCTGTTACAGTTATTTGTATTGACTTGATAATTACCATAATAGGTTGAAATATTGTCACAACATAAAAGAATGTTGTCATTTCACATAAGTACATTAACTATACAATTTATTATTATCCTATTTATTTTATTCTTATTTACTCGATAATAATGTGGTGGACAAGTTTGTACACATTCTCCAGTTGAATAAATTCGTAATTTATCACATGCATTACATTGATAAATAGAATTATTTGTACAACCACCAGCACACGATGAATGACAACATTTTTTATCTGTTAATGATTCATATAAACAATTTGTCTGACATTCTTTTGTACATAGAATCTGACATTGTGTAGAATTCCAACATACTTTATGATGACCATCAGCTGTAAGTGGACATGTACAAAATGCACACGTTTCAACAGTTGAATCACGATTACCTATAACAGAATTTATTTATATTTAAAAATTATTAAATAATATTAATATAAAATTGTACCTCTTAATATTAGACGTTGTTTTTTATCTTCTTTAATTAAATTCCACATAACTGATCGAGCATAACATAATTGAGAATTTCTTGCAATAATAATACCACCACGTTTAATCGATAATAATTGATTAAAATTAATATCTTCAAGATGAAAATTTTCATTTATAATTAATGAATAACCATGGTATAATTCTTTTCCTTGAATAATATGTAAACGTGGAAACATTTCACTAAATGTATACATTGAACTATAGCCAATTAATAAATAGCCATAAATTTCTTTTAAATTTAAAAAACGAATTCGTCTAGAATTTCCGCCTGAATTTTCACTATCAAAATCATAATCATAATAATAAGAATAAGATGGAGGTGCTGAGATGACAGTGGTAGCAGTGATAGTAGTCGTAGTCGTAGTCGTAGTAGTAGTAGTAGTAGTAGAAGTAGTAGTAGTATGATTTATAGTTGGAAATAAAAATTCAAAGGGATGTTGTTGTTTTGAGAGTAAAGTTAAATCTGTTTCTTGTTTCTTGTTTTTCTTATTTCTTTTACTTTGTTGTTGCATAGGAGCAAATATAATTGAACCCAAAACAACTTCACAGGCTTCATACGGTGATGGATCAAAATTTTTACGAGTTAATTCAAATAAGGATATTTTAATTTCACCACATACTACAAAACAACAACAACAACAACGACAACAACAACAACAACAGAAGATAATAAATATACTTTTGTACTTTTGATATATGTGTATTGTTTTTTACCTTTTGGTTTGGATTTGGCAAATGGTAATGGTAAGTCTTCTTGATCATCTCCTGTATCTCCATTAATTATGTTTTGTAGTAATGATGTTTCATTCGATGCTAATCCATAAACACAAAATACAATTTCACAATAAGATAAAAAAAATACTAGAAGATTTGTCATCTTCTCCGACTCCTATCGAGCATCTGAAATAGATAAATATGAATATCACAATATTCCCATCTTCTGTTTACTTTTCATGATGTTTGCCAATCATTGAACGTAACTAAATACTACTTATATGAGAAAACAACAAGCAGATGAAAGGTAATCCATATTACACTACCGGATAAGTGAGGATGAGTTTTTTTCTTAAGTTAAAGCTGAAAAGTACTGAAAGTTGCAAAAACGTGAATTGTCGAAATATAAAATCAGAAAAGTTTCAAACTAATTATTTAAGGGAGTCACTATCTCAGAAATCGATGTTTTTGATAAAAAAAAAACGAAATTGAGTTTCTTGCTTAGTTGGATACGCTAAAGTCTCCTCTTGCAGAATCTGTGCCGCTTTTCACAAAAAAGTCAGGTTGAATTTCTAAACTAGGTTTCAGAGGTTTTAGATTAAATCTTAGATCTACTACTACGATCAACTTCAAACTTGTTTAACGTATTTATCGGAACATGGTTTTAACGCAGTGAACTTGCTACTCTTCTTCTCCGAGGCGCTTTCGTCGTACGACCTTTATTTTTGTTTTGTTGTGAAGCTGTCTAAAAATTGCCCATAGCGATTTTTTATATACTTAAGCATACTTTGAAACCTGCATAATTTTTAGTTTGTAAATATAGAATTGTTGAATGAATCTATCTGATTGTTCTAGTAAAACTCTTGATTAAACTCTTACCATGATAGAATGAAAATTTTAAGTTTTTTTGACCTTTTATACTTATTACACATCTCTCTCTCTATGTTTTAGATTGCTATCAAAGAAGATGCATTAGCAACAGAAATTCTCGTTCAACGTATATGTCCAAAAGGTTATCAAATATTGGTATGCACTCTTTGACTATATTTAAATTTTTATTCTATTTTCCACTTTGTTTATTTTATTTTTTTCTAGAAAAAATTAGATGTTGATCCTATTTTGTACACACTCGATTGGTATATGACATTGTTTACACGAACATACAAAGCACCAAGAATACATCGAATTTGGGACATATTCTTTTGTGAAGGTTAGACAGATGTTAAATTTGTTTAAAATTATTAGAATAAATGGGTTCATGTCCAAACTTTTCACACTTTCATCCACCCACCCACCACTACCTTTGAAGATTCTTTGATCTCAATTTGAAATTAATTAAAAGTGTGTGAAGCTCGGAAAGTAACGAATAACAAACTATTTTCATTTGTACATGTTATTATAGGTGTCAAAGTATTATTTCGTATTTCATTAGCTATATTAATAGATTCATTAGAATCAAATGAAGCTGAAAAATGTGATAATGCAATTGATTTAGTATCTTTTATTAAATTTAAAGCTAAACAATTGACAATTGATCAACTTTTAATTAAAATGGACCAATTAAAATTACATGATTACGATTTGACTGATGCTTGTCGACAAGCACGATTGCAATTAGAAAATGAAGGCCAACAAAATGGACCGATTATGCGGAAACAACGAGACATAGGATCAAAACGGACTGCAATGAAAGGAGGAAAAGGAGGTAAACCACCGATTACACCCTCATTCCTTCGACAAAAACATAAAGATCACTAAATGTTGAATATATTTATGTGCTTTTATAACAGTCTTCTAGAATTTTGTATTATTTCCTACTGAATTTTTTGACATAAAAAAAAAATTAGCTGTTCATTTTTCTTTCTTCTTACTTTTTTTTTAGATTCACGCATTTATTCTTACTGAAATCTTTTTTCACGCTGTATCTTGTCCGACGCGTCCGATCCGCTGAAAGATTTATGGTGAAGAGATTAGAATTAATCTTAGATTGTGTTTAGTTCATGTAATATTTTTTCCAACTTTGCACGCGTCAGTTATTTATTTGAGGATGTGATTTTTGTTTTTGTATTCTGTGAATTTGTTGAAGAAAAACGAAAAACTTCAATTTCAATTTAATTACATACGTCCACTTTGTTTCTTCATTTTTTTTGTATATAAAAAATTAAACTCTGTCTAAATCATTATTTGGTAGGTGTGTTTTCTTTTTCGTTTCTTCTACGACTGTTGTTATTGTTGTCATATTTTTTGACATGAAGATGAAATAAAGACGATAGACATACAAAAAACAACTGTGTATATGAGATCTCTGTTTTATCATTGCCATTCAAAGTAAACAAACGGTGAAGGATCATCAGTGCAGTTAAGTTTGATTTTTACAAAGAGGAAGATAATAAAACACTTTTTACTCTGTACAATTTGTTTTGTATTTTAAGATCCTAACCCATGGATCAGAAATGACAATTTTCGTCAAAATTATGAATATTAAGAAAAACGTCTGAAGATATAGTCCCAAATATGCTCTTTCAAATACATTAGCTTTTATTCTCTAAAAAACGTGTGGAAATGTATCTATCGTTTGCTTTATAGATTAAAAAATAGTAATTCGAGAGAACTTTTAGCAACTGAAAGAAATTAAAAAGTTTTCAGATGAAACAAAATATTTTTTTGCTTTTGGTTGGCAAGAGTTATCGTCCGGCAGATTTCTTCTTAACGAAAACTCAAAACGAACTCAATATTTTTAATTTGAAGCTAAGACATACGAGAACAACGTAAACAAGCTTGATTTTAATCTTTTACACTATGCGGTGAAGTCTTTTCTCAAAATAAAACAAAGAAAAAAAAATCAAAAATCCGACTCTTTTACGTCGTTACCCAAGCTTAATTTGGGTTATACGGGCGCCATTTATTGAACGAAAGTAGGTGGATCCTTCTGAAGTTTTGTCATAACTATTCCTCGACATGATCAACATCTCCTGAAAGTTTGGTTCAGATCAGGCTTGTGGTTATCGGGATAGTTTTTGGACCCAAAGGGGAGGAGCTTAATGGAAAGCTTGCTAATTAACTTGGAATTTGAAAGTTTTTAGTATCACATTTTTAGCGATTAAAATCGATATTGGGACAGTACTGCACTCTTGTTCGGTTGCACTTTTAGAATAACAAGTGGCTGTCGGAATTCTTTCCAGTGATTTGAACAAGTATTCAATGGTAACGATAACATAGGGACTTTTTTTTTCATAAAAATATTTGTATAAATGATAACCACGAAAATGCATGAAACAGAGATTATCGACCGTCTAGTGTAAATGTATGTTACAAAATTTGAAAAACATACTAAAAATCCACTTAACGTAATAATTTCAAAGATCTTCAAGAGCCTATCTTGTACAACACCTTTGGCTATTATACAACTAGGTATGCACCGGTATCGGTATACCGAATACCAAAAATACCGATACCGAAAATACCGAACTTCGGTATATACCGATACCGAAAATACCGACTTTTTTTGACTTTGAATTTTTTGGATTTTTTCATTTGAAATGAGGTATTTTAGCATCCTGGACAAGGCGAACGTATAAACAACACTCAGCTGTGTATTTTGAGCATGTTCAGATAGAAAGAAAAGAAAAACTTTGGCTTTAGAAAGCAAACAAAGCTCTTGT